CCCCAAAACCCCAAAACCCCAAAACCCCAAAACCCCATTTCAAATATAATAAATAGAAATTTATCAGATATCATATCATGGAAGTATGATAACCATGCTATTTTTTGTTGTTGCAGGTTTCTTATTTCTTTCTAAAGATTTTGAGAGAGACAACTCTACCTCTCTTTTCATTCTTCGATAATTATGTACAAAATTTATAGAACTTAAAACCTTTAAAACAAAATATGGGCATTAAGGTAATTTTTAAACAATTCTTTTATATATAATTTTAGCTTCCACCAATGTCCAAGCTAGATGAAGAAATAAATGCAAATCTAAATTCAAAATTGAGCCAAGTTGTAGAAAAACTAAGTCAAGAAAAGCAAGAACAAAAGGTTGATGCTCTTTGAAATTATCTTCGTTCATATTTCTAAGTTTCCTGATATTTTATTTGAAATACCCTTAACAGGCTTACAAATAGGTCAAATTTTAAACATGTTTTTATAAGCATCTTTAATGCTTACTAAGTATAATGTAGGAAAAGGAGGAGATACAATGCTCGATATGTCTCAGCAAGGTTACATCATATCTGACCTTACCCTGCTTACACAAGTATTGTGAGGAGTGCATTGTAACTCATTTCAAGTACCAGATAAACTCAAAAGTATTAGTGAACACTTGTCCAGATTGCTACAGATGCTGTGAGGAAAATTTCGTCACAAATCTTCTATCTCCAGAACTGAAAGAACGATTTGAGCAATTCAAACTACAGAAATAAGGTTGATATTGACCAAAAGTTACATTGGTGACCAAGGACTAACTGCGGGAAATACGTGCATGTTCCTGGAGTAAAGAAAGGCACTAAGCACAAGGCCACTTGTGAATGTAGATATTCCTTCTGTATCAACTGCCATGAACCCTGGCATGGTTCTAAGAGTTGCCGAAGAGTTGGTGACAAAGGAATGAAAAAGTTCCAAAGTAAAGCAATTGTGAAAAAGTGTCCGAAATGTAACACAACTATTGAGAAAAATGAAGGATGAAACCATATGACTTGCCATGTATGACAGTATGAATTCTGATGGCTTTGAGGAGGCGATTATAAGAATGGAAGACATTTTACTTTTCTAAATGGGTGAACATACTTTGGAAATGGATCTTACAATTATCTACAAATTGCTCTGTTGCTGCCCTTTTTCCTCTGTATCATCCCATTTCTTGTCATGTGTACTCTCAGTAAGAAATGTTCTGAGAAATATCCGATTTCATGTTGTATAATCTGGATCCCATTATCATTTGTTGGTAAGTTACAATTTAATCTCTAGCTATTGCCCTGGGCTTTGCAATGATAGGCTTTACTCCAATTTGTTACATTTTGTTGGCACTTATCTTCTTGAGAAGTCTTATTAAGCAGTGAAGATATCGATAATTTAAAATAATTATTGCTAAAAAATTCAATACTTCACCATTTCTTAGGGGTTTTGGGGTTTTGGGGTTTTGGGGTTTTGGGG